ACAATGATCAGGGGAAAGGATTGCATTGAAAAGAAAAAAGCCAAGGGAAGAGGTATCATCAATGTGATGGCGTGCTCATGTCGCGTGTTACGCGCAGAAATGATAAAAGGCGACCCCCCGTTCCGCAGCACCTTTTTTCCCCATCTTCTTCTCAATCATCTTTGCGCACATCCATACGCCCACACACGCTCATTTGGTATGTTGACGATTATTAACATCATCTAATGCCATCTCATTCGTATGTACTTCTTGTAGCTATCTTCAGACCTATTTGCTTGCTTGCTTCTTCTTCTCCTCGTCTTCCACTTCGTTATCATCAGTAAGTGCATGTTTTATTCATCATGTAATAGCATTTTCTTACATTCTTTCTATAGAGATTAACATCAAGGGTGACCGGCACGATCCTCCGTAATCCTCTGCTTGGCCCCAACTTTTCAACAGCTTTGTCTGCATTCCTTTGCCCGATCCCACCCGAGCACGGTAAGTACACTTCTTTTTCTGCTTTCATCTTGCTGAACTGACATCTTTTATTGTACATAGGTGAGGTGAGGGCACCCCGGGCGGCTTTTTTCTCTTCTTCTTCTCCCATCTTTCCCTCTTTCCTTCTTCTCTCCTCTCTTTCCCCGTTCTCTTCTTTTCTTTTGCCGTCTGGGAAATCTTGATGGTAAGTTTATACGACGATGTGATGATACATTCCAATACTAATGATGTCTTCCATTTACATTGACTTTGCTGGGTGCCATCTTTTTGCCTTTGTACGATATCCACCTCTCGCTATTATCCTTCCCATTTCATTCTTTTCCTTTGTACTATAATCCTTTATCCCAAATTTGTAAATTACTCTATTTTTTTGATATTATAAAGATGATCACTCTTCATACCAAACTATACGGTTACTTGAACCTTCATTGGAAGGTATGACCTGGAACCCTTTCATACTAAAGCGTACTTACCGAGTGGATTTGAGGATAGCCAGCAATAATCGTTCATTGTCAACAGCCTCTTTGTTCAGCATATGCATAGCACATCATCTCCATGGAAGGATAACAATGGGCAAATAAAGGGGATCACAATTCATTATCATCTTCGACTCTGCCTCGTGAAATGGAAATGTTGCCTTTGGTGAAGGTTACATGTGGATGAAGCAGGTGATTCGTCGTTGCCAGGGATTACATACGCATATATAGCAGGGTGGATCTGGAAAATGGATGCTTGCTTGAGACGTGTAGCTATAGCAACAAGGACAGCAACACGGTAGATACAAGGATAAGATTATATTGCGTCAAGTGCTTCGTTTGTGAACGAGCATGTTGGATGGTACTTTTTATAGCTGGCAAAACGCTCAAGCAATGGATTAGCTCACGCCTATTCTCTGATTTGGCAGGAGTTGTGCAGCATAAAGGCGTGGCTTAAATAAGGCATGGTGCGCGCATCTTTCTCCACTTTTGCACTATTACAATGTTCCATCCTACTCGAGGAGGTAAAGACTGACATACGAAAAGCTGTCGATTGGAATGCTTGGCTTACACTTTATTGTATATAGGTGTTCGTGGTGGTAAAGACCAGGTAAAAATAACGGCTCATGCAACTACGATTGACCTTGTACGAAGCAATGGGAGTCCAGTGTCGTTAACAGAGAATCCTTTATAGTTCAGTTGGGAAGATGTCAAGGAAGATAAATATCGTGAATACTACCTTGGCCATTCGTTGATGGCTCCTGTGGGTCGATGGCAGAAGGGTACGGTTCAACATCTGGCTTCGACAATGGGGGGGGGTGGCCAAGATCCATAGCTCATGTGATATTTGTAGGCAAGGACTTGACATGGTATGCAAAGGATTCCAAAGACGACAAAGCAGAAGCACATGCACTGGAGCTTGCCAAGATTAAAGAAGCTGAAGCGGATGCCATGGCAGTTGCATTGTAAGTATCCTGGGATACGAGTGGATGAGAATCATATCCATTAACGTGGGGAATAATAGAGGCGTAAAGAAGAAACGCACCATTGAAAGCAATGTCACTGAAGAAGAATTACGACATGCCATTAAACGCAACGATGATTCGGATGATGATCCATTGGATAAGGTGAACGAGGAAAAAGGATTGGGCTATGGCAGGTATGCAAGGCATAGTGGGGTAAAAGAGACAAGCTGATTTGCTTACCATTTGGTATTGGTAGATCCAATCGTTTGATACCAGCAGCAGATCAACCTGTGGAAGTTATGAATAAGGGTGGAGCACCTTTGGATTACAGCAATGTCGCAGCAACCAGTTCTTCAGCAATCGGCTATGAAGATGAGATGCACATTGACAGCCGCAGCAAGGAGAAGAGGAAAAAGAAATCCAAAAAGCACAAGAAATCCTCTTCAGAGAAAAAGAAACGTCGTCATCGTCATCGATCGGTATCACCCGAAAGCGAAGATGAACATCGTCGTCATCATCGATATGATTCACCACGCCGTCGTCGTCATCATCGTCGTGATTCAGATATGGATCGAGATACAAGGAGTCGTTCACGTTCATTATCACCACGTCGTCGTCATCGCCATTCATCTCGTTTATCTTCATATATGGATCGACATAGAAGCCGCTCACCACCTCGACGACGACATCGATCACCATCCACACCACGTAGAGGACGTTCTAGACGCCCACGTAGTTTCAGTCGTTCACCATCACCTGTTGACAGAAAAAGTCATCGTCGTTCACCATCCACACCTCGACAAAGAGCATCGAGCCGTTCTATGAGCCCACCAAGGAAAAGATCACATCCTCACAGAGATAGATCACATCCTCCACCACCTCCACCATCCCATGAATCCAAGCGAGAAAAAAGCCGTTCACCTTCACCCTACACTAGACGTGCCATGTTGAGTGGTCGACAATAGTATAGTCAATTTTATAAACGAGGGGTATCTTTATACATATTTACAGCGAGAGATTCAATTCTAAGATTTTACGAGAGGAGGAGAATAGAGTTGTCTGTTGGCAAAGATGGGATTAGCTAATCGAGTGGGTGCAGCTGGAGGAGGTGGGACTTGAGGTGTCAATAAGATGGGGCGATTTCTTGGTAGAATGGATTGACCGGTACGTTCAGCTTCCCAATCTTCCCATTTCTTCATAACAAGTCGAGACGAATCAAACTTTCCTTCAGCATCCAAATGTCCCTTATCCTTCTTTTCTCCAACTACAACACGCGTAGCACCCCACGAAAAGTCGTCAAAATGCCAATAGGAATAAATGGGAAGCACAAAGTTCCATATGGGCAAGGCAATAAGATACACTATTATCATCCATGCTGTTAGTTTTATGTTGGGGAGTACATGGGAAAAGGGTAAAACTTACCACACATCCAACCGATGTAAACAACCTTAAAGGTGGTGATTGCAATAAGGACGGCAGGTAAACCGAGAATAGCCACTAAGAGTGCTAATGATTGCCATTGGGGATCACTGGATATAGCCGTATTTACAATGAGATACACCGTCAAGCAAATGGCAGCTGGAAGAACAAGTGTGCCGACAAGATCCACAAAAACGGAAAATTGCATTGACAAACAAGCGATGCCGCACAAATCGGATACAAGTACAAGCTCCATAAGATTATGCACTGTGGAATTGATCCATCGACGACGTTGAGATAGCAGGACACGGAATTGATCTGGTACAACCGTTTTACATCGGGCTTGAGGAACATACATCATTTGACGGCGTGGGAATGTACGTAGCATCAAGGTTGAAAGGAACCGGTCTTCACCCAACAAGAGCAAGTTTTTGGCATGAAGTGTGGTGACAATGTTTTGATTGTACTCGAGAATAATGTCTGGATTGGCAAGGATGGGCACCCATGCGCCATTTTTAGGTGCTTTGATGCGATACATGCTAAAACATCCTGGAAGACAGGTCACAATGCCAAACAAAGATTCGAATGCCTTGGCATAATTGTGTGAAATATAGTATTCAAACACTTGAATGGCCGTAACCCCTGAATAAATAGCGTGTGAGATGAAGGAACCTATCCCATATCCTTTTTCCCGTATACGTACATGATTGTAGCTTGTTCGCAATTCGTGTCTCACCACACAATCCCATGATGGTAATATCGTTGGCCATAGCAGCAACCATGTAGGTGATGGCATCCGGTAACACTTTGGTGTCAGCATCCACCATCAATACGAGCTCAAACTTGTCAGGAGTAACACCCTTCATAAGCCATGTCATCTTCCAAAAGATCTCATAGTCAAGCTCGGATAATCGATCATTGAATAAAACGCGTTGAAAGAATTGCATCACGATAAGCTATTAAGTTGTAAAGATGAGCATTTGCAATGATCGTCATCAAAGGTCTTACGTACCTGAGAATCACGCTTTCCACGATTGCCAGCCTTGGGTTTGCTCACTTCTTCCTCGGTGCCACATTTGACCACCACAATACAAGGAACTCCTTTGTAATGTCCAGCATACTAAAAATCCAATCACATGAATCGCTTTGGTCGATGCATAGCGTGTTACTCTTTTTTGATCTCCCACCGCTCTTACCACTTTGGCCATGTTGAGTTGTCTTTCACCATCAGCAATAGCAACGTAAGAAGATTGTTTTGGCTCTCTCATAGTAGGATCTAGATCCATCATGCCAACTACAATATCGGGTGTTGTACGTGTCTCGCCTGCACCAGTGATCATTCCATCACATACAACCATAAAGCACTATGTAATGAGAATGAGTGACTATGATTCAAAAGAAAGTTGTATGTAGTATGTTACCTTATGTTTGTTGGAGTAAGTTGTTCTTGCAAGGCTATCCATGGTCGTTTGTAAGCCATCATATCCTTCTGAATAACACGTGACCAGCATTATGGTGTATAGCTCAGCTTTGATCATGCCGGATGATGGTGTGGCTGTTGTTGTTGCAGCTCCATCCATGTTATCGCTTCGACGTGATGATAGGCTGGATGAGGATGATGAGTTGCTAGTGCCTGCATAGTTGTTGGGGTTGTAATAAGCATAAGGACCTGGGATGTGGTTGGCTGGATCATCATTGCCACCCTTGATAGAACGCCATGCAAGCCAATTGGAACGACCACCCGGCTTAACAAGTCGACCCGCAATAAACCATTGAAACGTCAATGCCATCGAATAGCGCACCACAATCATGGCAACAATCACGATCAGCATCAAATTCATAATGATTTGTGCCGCAATGCAGCCACCTGTATCACTCTCCATCATGCCGCTGCTAAATCGCGCCACGAGACAATCACGTGCTTGTGACCCTGCAGGTTCATAAAGTAGCTGGTATGACACATCCTTGCCTTGCCCTGCTTTTAACGTAGTGTCCACATAATCCCCAAAGATGGCTGTGTCATTATGCATGTATGTTGTCAAGTTGAGCACTATAGCAATGTATATGAGTTTATGATGGAAGAGGGTGGTGTGTCCTTAATGCAGCATACGAACCTGTATTACCCAAGACCGTCAATGTGCTAAAGGTATATGATGATGTCAAGTCGACCCAGTCGAAACCTAATGACCCTGTTGGCTTCATGTAGGTATCCAATTCCCTGAGAGGGATACATCCACCACCGCTTGTTGTCATGGAACCTCCTGTTAGTATCGCTATTAGTATCGTGTGCTATGGGTACATTGCACAAAACGGACACGTTACCATATGGGCTATGAAGCGTACAACTTCCCAAAGCAGCATTTTCTCCAAAGCGTGAGCAAGCCCCTTTGGTGTCACCGTCAAAGATAGCTCCAATATCCATGTTTTCAAAATCATTCGTCAAGTTGAGACCTTGAGTGGCAAAAAATTCCTTCATGCGATCCATGTCGTACACGCGGCCAAATACACGCACATCTTTGCTATACACCGGACGACGTACACCATCGGATCCCACAGCTGAATAGGCAATGTTGCTCCGGTTCTCTGGACACAATGTCATGTTAAGACCATAGGTGATGTAAACGAGAGCACAACATAACAGGATGATGCCAAGCACCAACGCTATCTATTTTTGCATAGCATGAAAATGAACATTTGTATGATAAAAGAGCATAACCCAAAAAAAAAGAGCTTCCTACTAGTACCTTTTCACGCCAAGCTTGCTGTACCAAGATGGAACGTTTTCGACAACAAGTACGAAGACACCAAGCTGGAAAGCAGCAAGTCGCTATATAGGCTGTCCAAGCCCACCATGACGTCAAGACATTGGGTTGATCATCCTCCTCTTCTTGTTGTTGATGCTGTTGCTGCTTTGTTTTGCGTACATGTGTAGTCGTAGGGTTTCTGAGGATAGCATGACCAAGGCCTGCTTCTTGCTGTTGGCGTAACTTTTGTTGTTGGATTTGCTGTTGTTGTAGGCGATTTGGCATAGGTCTATGATCAGGTACGCCAGGTCGGTGGAGTGGCACACCATTGTACTCGTTGTTAGACATGGGTGTATTCGAAGCGTGTGGTGGCACAAGTGGCCCTTGTTGAGAAGGCGGTGTTGTATTGCGGATCATGCTTGGTCTTGGACGATATCGATCAGGTCGTGATAGTGAACGATTTCGAGTGAGACTCGTTTGACGACGCATGTTATCATGATGTTGTGGAATTCTTTGTGGACCATGATTATTATTACTATTTCTTGCTCGTGGATGATGCTGCTGCTGTTGATAGCTTAATCCTCTTTGTGGAGTTGATTGTTGTGGTGGTCTTCTTTGTTGATGTTGCCATTGTACTCCTCCTCCTCCTGCTGCTGCTGCTGATGCAGTGGGCTGATCACGAGTTTGACGATGTCTTGCTGAAGGTGATATTGGTTGTTGTTGTTGTTGTTGAGGTGGACGACCACCATGGATTGGAGGAAGTGGTTTTCGCTGGATACGTTGTTGCTGCTGTTGTTGTTGTTGAGAAGAACGATGAGGATAAGGTGTAGCCATTGCTGGAGGAACAAAAGGTTGTGGATGTCGACCTTGAGGAGGTACTCTGTTATGCGGTGGTGGTTGTGGCGGACGATCCTCTTGAGCTGATCCACGGCTGCGGAGAGCTGGTGCATAATAATAACGATGGTCTTGCGGAGTCGACATGCCAATTGTTGCCCACACACACACAAAGAAAAGGGAAAAAGAAAGGTGTGAAAAAAGAAATCAAGTTGTTGATGCATTTGTTCTTCTTGGGAAAACAAGCAAACCATGAACAGTGTGTGTGTGTGTGTGTGTGTAACACGTTTTATTTTTACAAGACTGTCTCTAAACAATGTGTGCTAAACAAGGAAGTCGTGTTGCACTTTTAGTATTTCTTCACAGATCTGCAGATCCACCCACACCCTTTTCCCCCATCACTTGACCCTCCTACTTACATCGCATAGGGCATATCAGTGGCGATTTATCTTCTACTGTAGCAGTGTGCAGACGATGCTGGAATCGATAATGTACTCGAAGTTGTTTACGTTCGCCAAGACATGGGTCATAGAAACCAAGGATATTGGTCTATTGATAACACCAATGAGATCATTTCTACTTTCTATCATATGCTCTTCACATCACTAACCTTGGAATGTCCTCCAGGGATCGTTACCCGTGATTCATTCACCAATGCTTGGACAACCACAGTGACATCAATCACTTCTTCAGGCAACTCGTCGCTTTCAAAATCAACATTATCCAGGCAACCATACCATGCCTTGACAATAATAAGGCCTATTGGTTGCCATTGCGAATTAGTCCTCCTTGCATCCAACCATCTCCACACTTTAAGTTTTTCAATGCTTACCATCTTGCTTCTTTTCCTCTTGTCTCTTTTTGCGTGCAGCAATCTCCATCATTAATTGTTGTCCTTCTAAGGCTTCTTGCTTTCGGGTTTCCAGATATTCAGCATGTTGCTCACGTAGTTGGGCAATTTTCCTACATTGTATAAACTATGAACACACATGTATAACATCCATGCCCCATGTACACTTACTCTTTGATTTGCTTTCTTCGTCGGGGTTGGAGAAGGAGTTGATCCAATGCTACTGCAATCGATACAGGTACCACAGCACCAAAGAAGGCCAGTTGAAGATCAAACTCGGTGGAGAGAATAATAGGCAAAACAAACTTTTGGCCAAGACGAGCAATTCTACAAAGGGGATGGATCAGCTGACAAGGCTTCAAACGCATGATGCCGTCACTTTTCTATTTTCAGATACAAACTTACCGGAATTTGACTTGAACACCGGAAGGAAGACCACACTCAAGTGACATGCCAAATCGAGTATGTTTGCTCACTTTGTGATCACTGCCAATGCTTGCTGTGATGCCACCTGCTGTGGACAAGGCACCCGAAAGACGAAGTTGCACCTGATTGGGTAGCTTGCGTGTATATTCACAAGCAATATGAGATGATAGAATACCAGTCTATGTAATAGAAGAAAGATTTGTTTAGGCTTTTGGGTCGATCTTCAACTTGCTTCCCCACATTCATGCAGCCATCCTCTTTTGTGTTACCTGTAATTCAACACTGTAGCTGCTCGTCTTTTGACCACCGGCAAGGCCCAATGCCACTGAAGACTTGTCCATTTTGCGTGAGGTATCACCTCCCCATCCAAGAAGAGACCATTCACCCGTTCGATAGGTCACATAACCTGTTGTTGTGGCGTATAGACGTCGACCAGCAGTAACCGTCAAAATAGGTGGAGCATATGGAGTACGGGTTTGTGCCACAGTATTCACAAAGCTACAAAGTTAATTAGCCTCCTATTCTTTCCCTATCCTTGATATCCTTCCTTACCTATCAGTGGACATGCTGTAATATGATTTAAGCGTGACCACCCTTGGATGTAAGAACGAGGTGCTTAACTATTAAACAATCGAGTGAATAAGCGCTCTTTGTTATGTACACATTGATGCGGTACTTACTTCTCCCCAAAGCTTTGGTGACACTGTATGGCGAATCGTACCCATCAAGTTGCCACCTCCCATACCATTTCTTGACAACATGGATCCTCCAATGATGGCTCGTGTCTGTGCACCAATTTGAGACTACATAAAAAGACATTAATAAACATTACTTCTTTCATCCAATTCACTTTTGTAGATATACCTCGAATGTATGTCGCATAAACAATTGCTGGATCTGTGTTTTGGTCAATGCATGCAGGGGACCTCTCCTTTTGGGGGCGATAGGTGGTTGACCAAACCCAGCAAATACAGGTGGCTCATAGGGATCGAATACACCAGTCGCATTGAGATTAAGCTGGAATTCGCCACGAGATCGTACCAAATTCTCCAATTCTTGTTCTCGTTGCAAGCGTTCCTTCTTTTCATATTCGGCTCTGATCTACATATCCAATACGTAAGCCATCCAAATCCTACCCATACTCATCCTCTGCATATATATACCTCTTCGGATGTCTTGTATTTGGGTCCTACTTCCCACTTTGCATTGAGACCTTCCTCGCCATATGTATCATAAATAGCTCGTTTGATAGGATCACTGAGCACTATACCATACTCTTTTAGTCATCCATATCCAATAAACCAAGTAGCATCATTAGCTATACCTTCATAAGCTGTTTGAATGACTTGGAACCGTGCTTCTGCCACCTTTTTGTTGTTAGGGTCGTTGTGCTGCAAATAAAAGAGCGTTAGCTTGTTCTTATTGGGATGGCATTCACTTTTACCTTGTCAGGATGGAAGAATCGACAAAGCTTCTTGTATGCATCCTTGATTTCGTCTTCGGTTGCCTGACATGACCCGTGAGCATTGAGTGGTGTGGATCGCAGCTATTGTTCTCCATAAAAAGCAACTGCGTACCGTTCTCGAAACGTTAAGGACACCATAGTAATCAGAAGCCTTGGGAGCAAGATCTTGTTCAAGTTGCAACAAGGTGTCGTCGTCCAATTCCTCGTCTGGAATCGTGTGCGATTCGGGAGCGTCCAAGTAGGGATCCATAACTGCAAAAGACACAACTTGGTATACACGCGCTTCACATGAGAATGTTTAGAGGTAATTCTCTTTAAATTCCGACACGTCGACCAATGCAAGGCTTGACAATGCATCCTTCCCCCCCTTACCGTGTATATATAAAGACCATGCCATTAAGGATGGACAACAGCATTGGGACTGTGTGAGTGAGAAGACAATGATTCTTTTGTTAGTTACATGGTGGTTGTTAGCGAAGAGAGTGATTGATAGAATGAGGTGCTGCTGGTTTATCAATTGCAAAAGAACGTTGTAGTGTGCATGCTGAAGGTATTACCTAGTTGTAGCTTGCCACGTGGAAAACTTTACCCCTTACATTGTTCCCAAAATCCAACCGATATACTTTGAAGACAACCCCACCACATCATTGTATATCTTCATCCAATACAATCATAAAACCTATCTTACAAAGCTTGGGATTGGCTTCAAGGTTAGAGCTTCTCAATCCATCATAGCTTGTTATGATACTCTCTTGTATAAACCAAGCCATGATGTATGATTAAGGAAAACTGACAACATACCCCACAAAGATACCAATCTGCTAATGCATAGCATAGGAAAGTAACTCAATAATGTAAGTATGAGTATGCACTTACACACCATCATCTAGTAGCAGTTCATAAATTGGAGCTGCTAGCCATTTCCTTCCACTCTCAACTGTTGCCCGAAACAATGCGTGTGAACGACTCTCCTACTCTAGCCCATCTTTTCCATCATTCAACTTTTTTGAGCCGAGAGAATTTGACTGAGTAACGCTCAAACAAAGAAAGCGACACCCAAGATGAGAAAAATTAATTTGATAGTTACTTCACAAACTGTCCGTTGATAGCCCATTCCTCCCAATCACCTTTGCTGTCCAATCCATTGCATGTAAATGCTTGTCCTGCTCCAGACCAGCATACCAATCATTCAGCTTTCTTGATCCGAGTGGATTTGGGTGAGTTACGCTCAAACACAAAACATCATCCAATTTCACAAAAATCATTTTGCAAAGTTATTTGTAAACTGCCAGCTAATAGCCCGTTCCTCCCATTCACCTTTGTTGCCCAATACAATGCATATGAACGATTGTCCTGCTCCAGTCCCATCATTCCCATCATTGAACTTTCTTGATTCGAGGTGACATGGTAGTATGGCAACAATGGGTGTTGTTGGATCATCATTATCATGTAAAGTGTAAAATGGCACACACCCTTTTGCTATACGTGAGGATCATTTCTTTTATTTACGTGTACCTATTGTCTATCGTGAGGGTGTGATGATGACGATGGGTGGATGATGTGTGTGGGGTCATTGAGTGGCCTCAGAAGGGGTCAGCAGCTCCGCAGCAGTTGCCTCGTTATTTGTTGCCCAGCAACACGCGTGCTCTTTACATTGCACCTTCCACACGAACACAGCAGCTGTCAATGGTGAACGCCGTCCTTCAAAAGGTACTTGTTAAACGCTTCTACAGCCGTGTTTAGTAGTTCGCTAGCTACTAATGCAACACTCCACATTACCAGACATGGTAACTCTTTACTTGCAACAACGCATTTCATTCGGCGCGTGTTTCTCGAGTCTTTCTCGTACAACAAAGGTAAGCCCAGTTCACTGCTAAGGAAGAAGACCAAACTGACACGTAACGTTGTTCTATTTAGACAACCTTTTATTGGGCAATGGCTTAATGCTGGTTGAGCTAAGGTGGGTGGGGGGTTCCAATCGATCTGTTTGGGTTGATCAAGCTCACTTGGCTTCTTTTCGTTGCCGTCAACCCCCAGGCTCTTTTACGTGGTGCATATGGATCAGCAAACAGCGTGGTGATGTCGTTGGAAGCAGGTATAAATGAGTTCCACTTTATTCGACTGCCATTGCTCATATTACAAGTATGTCCTTGTAGCACTTGGAACAAGGCCGTGGACAAGAGGCTGATGATGGTATACTTTTACAAGCATATGAATCACTAAAGTGTGTTAGAATGTGTGGATTAATCAAGGATCAAGACCATACTTCAAGGATGGCTTATGCTGCTGAGGCTCTTGTGGATTGATGGTGCTCACTGGCCAGTTGATCGGGGTAGTCTACGTATGTACGTGCTACTTGTTGCCGTAAAGAAAACTTTGGGTATTGTTTGGGTATTCAACCGGTGGGTGCTGTCGTTCGCTTGAAACTCCGTCAGCTCTTCAAGAAGCATGGTGTTCAAGATGACTGTGGATCGTAAGTGGGATTGTTATGGTTTCTATTGAGATATGAATGATGGCTAATTTATCAAGTTTCTAGTGTGGATATGTGGATCAGCAAAGATGTGGATCAGCAAAACACTCTGGATATTTGTGACGAGGCGATTGACGACTGGTGCCGAGTACGAGTACGAGTACGAATGATGGCGGGCGATGAAGACGACGATGGGTGGCAATGTTGCTAGATGGAATAAAGCATTGTTTCTTTTATTACACGCTTGGAGTTTGCTAGCTTGTGGATTACATACTATTGCTTCGAAGATGGAATAATAAAGGTGGTCCGGTTATCGGTCATGCAAGAAGTATATGCCTTTTGTGATACAATAAGGAGGAGTGGGATGACCTTGAGAAGAGAAAAAGTGAAGTGATCCCGTGCATTGAGTTTCAAGATGAGTGACCCCATCATCATCATCATCATCATCATTGGATTGGTTACTGGTGGGTTTACATAATACAAATTGGTTTATGCAGTTCGACCTTCTCCTACATGCAAATGTGATACATACCTTGACACACCTTCATTACTGGATGCTGTTTACTTACGTACCTTCACAAAAGGCAATCATCATCATGCATTTGTGCAGCAACCTGTCAAAGACGTGTTTGTGTAACCACCACGTGCCATTTCACTCAGCTCTTCATCTTTCCGTTAATGCAGCCGACACCATCCACTAGGAGAAAGCAACTCCACCACGCTTACAGCATATGCAAAACATAAAGGCACTTGTATCTCCAAACTTTACAATGAAACGTGGGGTGTTTATTAGAGCAATGGGCTCGGCTTGGCCAACAGCACCTTGTGTGAAAGTTTCACGTTCAATGTCGCAACTAGCCCAAAAAATATTTTTTTGGTCGTCGTCGTCGAAGAGGTCGACCCCCTGATCCAGTTTGGCTGGTGGCGACATTGCGAAATCTGGGATTGGCAAGCTTGATCGTGAAACTTTCACACAAGGTGCAGTTGGCCAAGCCGAGCACATTGTTCTATCAAAGACCCCACGTTTCATTGTAAAGTTCGGAGATACAGGCACCTTTATGTTTGTAAGCGTGATGCTATATGAGAAGTGGTCTTTGTTCATTGCCAAGTAGCTAGACCCTGGAGAGCCAAAGATGCAGAAGGACCTCTTTGGGTACCTCAGCTAAAAAGTCAGGACTTCAGGGACGATGCATGACAGGTACGCAACCCTCCCTTTTATGCCATACATTGGCAGCTAATAGCCACTTTTGTGCATTCCCAACCTTTGTGCATTCTATTGTAGGTGGACGATGCTCCTGCTCTAGACATTCATTTCCATGATTAAAGTAGGTTGATCCGAGCTGATTTGGTTGAGTTACGCTCACACAAGATTACATCGGTTGAGCTACATCGAGCGTACTCTATGTCCAGAGTGATGTAATCTCTCTTTGACCGTAGCTCAGTCAAATCAGCTCGGATCAACCTACTTTAATCATGGAAATGAATGTCTAGAGCAGGGGCATCGTTCCCATGCAGTGGATCTCGCAACAATGATGAATGGATAAAAGTGGCCGTTAGCTAGCAATACATGCCTGTTCCCAGATGATCCATAAAGTAATATACATTGACCCTTTCATTCATGCAAACGTAGCTGTGTTACACAACACGACCCTCTGCATCTTTTGCTCTGCCAGGGTCCACCTACTTGACAATGAACAAAGACCACTTCTCATATAGCATCACACTTCACAAACATAAAGGTGCCTGTATCTCCAAACTTTACAATGAAACGT